ACGGGGACCAGAGACAGGACTGCAGCTGGAGAACCAGGGACTAGAGACGGGGCTGCAGCAGCAGGTGATGGATCCGGAGCTGCAGCTGGAGAACCAGGAACCAGAGACGGAGCTGCAGCTAGAGAACCAGAAACGGAGACCAGAGACGGGGCTGCAGCTGGAGAGCCAGGAACGAGGACCATAGGTGAGGCTGCAGGTGATGGAGCCAGGGCTGCAGCTGGAGAACCAGTCAGTCTAACATGCATGTTTTTGGTCTGTGGGAGGAAATCAGAGTACCTGCATACATGCAGCAGCAGGTGATGGATCCAGAGCTGCAGCAGCAAGTGATGGATCCGGAGCTGCAGCTGGAGAGCCAGGACCGAGGACCAGAGGTGAGGCTGCAGCTGGAGAACCAGGAGCCAGAGACGGGGCTGCAGCAGCAGGTGAACCAGGAACCAGAGCTGCAGCAGGTGGTGGAGGAGTCTGGGCTGCAGCCGGTGGTGGAGGAGCCATGAACCCCTCAGGAGGACTGGAATGAGGAGCTTCCACCTGGGTCTCCTCGCAGTGCGGCAGAAGCGGAGCTAGATACGTTGCCACTATGGAAGCCTGCCACCGTTCTAGCTCCTCCAGCGAGGGAGGGCTGTACTGCTCCTCTGAGGGACACAGGTACCTCCCCCCCAGCGAAATTTTCCGCCGTTCCTCCGGCGACTGAGGGCTGGGCTTTTCCTTCACTCACGAAACTCTCCCCTTCTTGCGCTGGGTTCGGGGAGGACCAGCGGTTTGCCCCCCTCTCTCCGATGATTGCTTGTGTCCGCCAGGTGGAGAGCGAGGAGGAGGTGGGCAGCGGAGTGCAGCGGAGTGCAGCGGCGCGGTGAGGCGGAGAGGGACGGAGAGGGACGGAGAGGGACGGAGAGGCTGTGAGGCTGAGGACCCAGGATTAATGGCCAGGCGGGTCCCCCAAAATGGTTTCCTCCTCTCCTCCCTTTCTCTGTCTTTCTGGGCAGTCTTCTCTGCCTCACGGGCCAAAAACTCGAACAAAGTAATCATCCTCCCGCTGGGTTCAGTATGGTCTTGGGATTCTGTCATGTTCGACCGTCAGGAGTGTTTGAACCCACGTGCAGGAGGATGATGAGGACGCTCGAGGAATAGTAAATATACATTTATTAAACAAAACAAAATCAAAACGCTGACAGGGCAGCTACTCACAAAACTGGAAACAGACAGATCAGGGCTGACAGGACAAAAGGCTGAACACGACACCATGGAAGGATAATCCCGAGACAAAGACAAGACACCAGTGAACTGAATATATAGACACACACACTGATTAGGACAATGACAGACACCTGCAGTGATTAACATTAGACACAGGTGAGACGGGCTGAACACAAGGGAAAACACTGAGTGCTGGAAACATGAGGAAACACACAGAACCAAAACCCCACAATATATATACACATATACACATATATATACATAAATATACACGTATATACATATATACACATATATATATATATATATA